ATTATTTCTCTTCATTAAATAATTAGTAGTAGAAGTAATAGTGGTAGTGGTAATAGTATTAGTAGTGGTAGTAGTAACTGCTGCTACTACTGCTACTACTAATACTATTACTAGTATAAGAAAATTTTATTGGTAATAAAAAAAATTATATAATTAATACAAATTTTGTATTAATTATATAATTTTTTTTATTACAACGTTTGTGAATATAAATAAAAAGCTCTAACTGAACTAATTGAACATGCAATAATTTAAAAATTCATAATTACTTATTTATTTGTTTAATTAATTAACCAAATTGATAATAAAAATAATTAAAAAATTTATTTAAATATTTTACTTTACATCATCCTTAATTAACTCATTAACAAACACTGCTTAATAAAAATAAAATTAATGAGATTTATTTAATAATGAGCTAAATTAGTTGTCCTTTAATTTATTTGATTTACTTGGTTTATTAAAATTTAGTTATTTGAAAAACTAAACCAACCCTTAGATAGAAAAATATATTATATAAAAACTATAAATATTTATTTATTAATTTAATCATTAATTAACCATTAACGTACACTAAAACTTAGTAGAAACTAACAAACAAGTAATTTTTACTTCCACTATCTATTTATATGTGCTTTAGAATATCTATTAATAGATAGTTTAATTATTCATGGTGGTTTTACTTTAATGAATAATGCAATTAAAAATTAATCAAATCCAGGAAGAAAACAAAGAACTTTACCTAATTTATTTATTTAATATTTATGCTCTGTAAATTCGTTAAATTAATTTTTAATAGTTTAATAAATGTAATTTTTTATTAGAAATTAATTAAACCAGATTCAGGAGATTCAGGAAGCAAACTTTACCAAATTATGAGTTTTCCAATGGTTTTAACAACAGTACTCACCTTACCACCTTAGTGTTGCTCTTACCTTATAATATGTTCATTATATAGTCTTATCTTACTTTAGAAAATGAATCTTCACAGATCCCTGTAATTTTTCATATATAACAATTGGACGCAATTATTTATACAACATATAATTCTTATTTAATTTTTGTTTTATATATAAAGATAAACAAATATATACATGTAGACTCTGTGCAATGAATGTTCAATATATAAAAAATATTTATATTATATACACATATAATCGTTTAAAATTAGTTGATGATGACCGTGGATAAAGTAAGTTAGTGCATATTATAAGTTTTTATTTGTGTGTTCGTGCGTGCGTGTGTGTGTGTGTTTTTAATATAAAAAAACGTGATGATTAGTAAGTCATATATAAACATATATTATATATTAAATATATATAATATTCTGACAGTTTTAATCCATATCCTATATAAATATATATATATATATAATATATTTTTATTCTGACAGTCTTAATCCTATACAATTATAAATTTATATATGCATCACGGATTAGCTCTAACCGAAGTTTTATTCATTTCCTTGTTACATTTATACATGGATATATATAAATCCATGCATTTATAGCCAAGGAAATTTACGCGTGACATTCCAATCTATAAATAAATAATTGCAATATAGTGATGTTACATGGTTTTAGCAAATAAATTACATATAATACTTAGAATCATATAGAATAAAAGTTAGTGGTGCTGTTTTGGTTGTCCTATAATAATTTTATGTTTATTCTCTATATGCCATACATATTGTTGTAACCCTTGCATCTTGTGACTACCAACACTAATGTTATAACTTCAAAGATCTCTATTTTTCCCAACACCAGTGTTGTTGCTTTCAACGATCGTTAAGTGTTCGTTATTCCGTAGGTTCAAGATTTCCGATAGATGAACACAAGTGCTTCAAACGCATACTGTGTTGAACGTTTATTTGAATACCAACAGTAAAAGAAACATGTAAATAATCTAAGTAACTACATAAATCCCATTTACGACATCGCTTTCTCTGCTGGAAACCTTACTAGAAACCTGACTACACAGGACCTATATACAGCCTAGATTTTTAGCATAGATTAATCATTTATAATTATTAAATAATTAAAAATATTAAATAATAAAAAGTATAGCGCAATTTGATCAATCCGGCGGTTATAACAAGACGTCTCACCTAATACTGAAAAACAACTGTAGTCCTAGAGATAACTCTGTGTTAAAGCGTAATCACGTAATATATGAATTTAATTGCCCCTTTGACGGCTGTGCACGTCAACATGACTCATATATCGGGATTACTACTACCTCACTGAATAGAAGGCTTGGCGATGCATAAACAGAACAGTGCTATCAAATCTCATTTGGACTCAAAACACTCAATCACTATTAGCCGTGAAATCCTCGACAGCAACACCAAAGTAATATACCAAAACAGCAACTACACGCATCTTAAAATTGCAGAAGCAGTCCTAATTGACATCAATAAACCAAAAATAAATATACAACAAAAAATGACAACCTCACTCCCAACCCGGCGCTTAACCAACAATGAGAACAATGAAGTAATAAAAACTAGCATTGTAAATAGTGACAAAGAAGAGTATGATGATATCGATGAAGAAAAGGAGATCAAAGAACACGACCAGCCAATAAAGAAACCTGAAACCTAATTTCCTTCAAAGTTCATTTTTACAACATCAAAGTTGCATCCTTCAAAGTTCATTTTTACAACATCAAAGTTGCATCAAAGTTCATTTTTACAACGTCAAAGTTCATTTTGTTAAAGTCAATTTTTCCTATATAAACGACAAGAAGCACTGATGATGATTCATTCTGAATCGAAATATGGCCTTATTTGCATTTAGTTTTTTGGTGAACGTTTAGTTTATTAAAATTCAAAATAAACTTATTTTTTGAATTCATGCTGCAAATAAGGCCATATTTCGATTCGTTCTGAAATTTCTATTGCATTTGCGTCTGGGAAATCTGCAAAGCAAACAATCCAACTAAAACCTAAAGGTTACAAAAACTAAAGAACCAAACAAAAAAAATAAACTAAAAAAAAATTAACAAAACGATTAGATACAAAAAATGAAATGAAAATGAAATGTAGTAGTTATTGTAGCTAAACTAAATACTAATGATATGCCTATATGTAAAACTATAAATAGTGTTTGTGTATGATATCTACCCACTTTCTGAACTTATCATCACCCATTTATTTTTTTTATTATCACTAATTAATATCCATGTAATGTTATATTTCAATGTCAACATCCAACATAGTGATTTTAATATTGAATTTATAAATGTTTTTATAAAATAATAAAATTAAAAAGTGGGTTATATATATATATATATATATATATATATATATATATATATATATATATATATAGAATTGGTCCTGGGCATGACAAAACTGCATCCACGCTGCCTTGCGTGCTTTTGAGCAAAAGGCTAGGCCCACCGCTTATAACTGGTGGTTGTCGTCAGGATGGGTGTCCGGATGTAAAAACTTTTCCCAAATTATTCCTAACGTCCTACCTCGGGAAACTGGGTCTCTGGACGCTAAACGAAGATTGATTGATATATATAGAATATAGCATATATTCTATATTAGTTATTCCATATATTAGGGGCTAATCAATACAACCTGGCATGACCAGGTAAATGATTAACTGATACAGGTACATCACTATGCAGTAACAATCGATACATTTTTAACCATGAACAAAATGCTTTCTACCGCTATCATCTTCATAAAGAGTTGCGTTCGCATTCTTTTCGTAATGTAGAAAAATGTCCTGTTCATGAAAAAGATAGAAGATTCTCGAATTTTGAATTTTTAGTTTATTATATTATTATATCTTTAATAGTTTTATTTATTACTTACTGAATTTGATTGATGATTTGAACAGGCCAACAGGTCTATGGTGTTTTTTCTACTACACCACGAGTTGTTAACTTACAGTAAGTAACAGTAACACTACCTCCGATCTAATCTAATATACTGCTTATCCAATAAATAAATTACTAATTAATTAAATAATAAAACTAACCAATGGTGGTTTCTCGGCAGTTGGGCCTTTATGGTTAGCAGTTTGGTGCATCTATCTCTTGATTCTATTGAAATGGGAACACAACATTGTAATGTTCCTATTTTGGTATCAACTTTCTAATTTTGGTTTGAGCCCATTAATAACTCAATTATATTATGCTAATATTAGTATATGTATAATATAAATATATAATATGTAAAATGTTTAAAAAATTCCACTAATTTTCATTTGGAAATGCAATTGTCTTCATTGAAAGTTGATCAAATAATAAAGAAGACATCAACATTCAAGATTTTTAAAAATGTGTTGAAAGTTATCATCATTGCTATAATTATTGTCATCATCATAGAATATCTTTTTATCAGCAACTCGAGGACTAGTGTTGGTTTTAAAAATAGAAAAACTTTGAACAACAGCATTCCACTACATTTGAAAAAATTACATGACTCTGATCTTGAAGTCGAAATAGATTTAGGCAAAAACATTCCAAATGTTTCAAAATTGAGGCAATCTGAACATGAATATCACAGCAATGACATACCAAATGATCACAAAAACCAACACATTCCAGTAAATGATCATATCCTGACTGACAGTTCATTTTTGGCAACAACAATTTTTCTAGTCAGAAACAACTTTGTAGATAGAGATGATTCAGTAATACCAAATCAAGTTGGAGATAAAGGAGTAACAGAAACCAGTCCGTCAACCAGTAAATTTATTGAAAATGTCAGTTCTAAATATTTAGATTCATTCCAAGAAATCAATGATGTTGAGAATGAAGACAGAGAATTGGCAGGCTATTTGTTCAAAAAAAATTTTGATTCAGTGTCAAAATTTGCCTCAGATCATCTCATTTTTGATGAAAAAAAGAGTTTACTACGGTTGAAGCAACTCTGTAGAAAACATTGGCCATATGGAGTCACTCATATTTTAGGAGAAATCAACTCAAAGTATATTTGTTTAATCTTTTTTGTTTCAATTGTTAATAAATGAATTAATTTTATATTTATTTTAAAGCACAAAATATGCAATATATTCTTCTACAACTGACACAAAGTCTGCATCAAATTATTTTTTCTATCTTCCATTAACTATTTTGTCATGGAAAAGAGTTGGATTTGGTTCCATAATAATATTTGTTGGGTCCCAGAAAGGGTGGTGTGTCAACCAGCTGCTTGTTTTTATTGTTGAACAGTGTATAAACCTTGGAGCAGTACTGATTTTTGTCAACAACGAATTTCAAGACAGCATTAGACTTAGCCAGGTCTCAATTTTATTAGTGGTTCATATTTTATGCAAATTTTAAAACTTTACAAATGAATATTTTCATCAATGATCTGATAATAAACCAAAAAATTGTTTTAACACTCAGGTTCTTAGAATTTTTACTGGCAACATCATTATTTCTCATTTTCCAAATGCTAATGATGTTTACTTGATGACCAGTGATTCAGACATGTGGCCATTGAATGAAGAAATCTACATGATGCCTGCAAACAAAACCATTCTTTCCATAAATTCGAATTGCTGCTCTCCATTCAGGCACAGAGGCCAGACCTACAAAATGTTCCCACTGGCAAATGTTGCCATGGACATAAAGACTTGGTGTCAGCTCACAGAGCATTTGAACCTCAATCTCCACAGTACTGTTGATGACTTGCTCCAATATTTGGCTAATGAGTTTGGTTCTGCCGCAGTTAGACCAGTTGTAAAAGGAGATAATAAGGGCTGGTTCATGGATCAATTACTTGTATCTATTCTGATTAGCAGGTGGCAGAAAATGTATCCAAACACGGTTCAATATGTACCTAGAAACATCGGAAGGGATAGAATTGATAGGAACAACTGGGTAGTGGTAGATTTTGAGTATAAGAATGATGCTCACCTTCCTACTGAGGGTTACAAGTCAGAAAATTGGTTCAGATTGTTGCCTTTGTTAGAACTTATGTATGGCGTTGACTCATATTCATATAAATATTCGTTGAAATATTTTCACACTTTCATAGATATCATGAAAAGATACTAAACTTTTCAAGTACATATAACTTTAACTTTTGCTACAACTTTTCATATCTCGTGTTTTAGACTTATTTTCAAGCTCTTTCCATGACCCTCACTTTTTTACTATGTGTTGTACTGTTTTGTATGACTATGTGTTGTACTATTGTATATGTCCTACTTCTAATCTTTCTTTAGAACGATTGCTGGATATTTTCATTTTTTCTATAAATTATGCAATATAGTGTTACTGAGTTTGATGAGTAACTTCTTGATCTTAATGAATGATGTAATGGTAATAATAATTTATGCCTTTGTTCATCATGATAATGTTACAAATCAAACTTTGGCGACGAAATTGGTAATTTTATTCTAATTAAATTTCTTTTGTTCATTTCAATCAATCTTTGTTTGGCGTCCAGAAACCCAGTTCCCCCGAGGTAGGACGCTGTTTTCTTTGCCATCAATTGTTTGCGCCAAATTAGGTGTAATTAGGCGATCAGTTGTATCCATTCCGTTTAAATATATCCATTTGGTTTAAATACACTATTATTTTATTCATTTCGTATACTCGTATATATTTTATTAATTTATTTAACAGTTAACTCAAAACATGTATTAATTTCAACGTAACCATGTAAATGAAACCATAAAAATTAATGAATATATATTTGCAAGCCATTACAATATTTTCACAGTGAACATACTTCTCATGTTCAAACGTTTGCCTGCACACACTGATACAAGCCAAAACAAAGCCACACATACACAAATGTATACATACACACAATGTTGAAATATTTTCTCTTTCCTAGATATCATGAAAAGAGGCTAAACCATCAATCCATCCAATCACTCCAGCACCACATTTTCACGCACGCACACACACACACACACTCTTATAATCATACATACCATCATGTAATAGATAGTTAATGACATGACATCGTAATTAATGTAGAATGTTAATGTTCCCATCATTGTTGTAGCTTGCGTTCATATTAAATATATTTTTGCGAAAATTAAATCTCATATAGCATTATTATAGTCTCTATTAGAATACCTAAGTTAACACTTATTTACGTAAATTTTATGGAAATAAATATCATTACCACTTAATTTATTAAAAAATTTTCTTTTTTTCAAAATAAGCGAATTTAAACACTTTGTTTTAATAATACACTCACCACTGCACAAGTGGCCAGCCCATCATACTTATCGGGTTCATTAAGTAGGGCCGGATTAATTCTCAGCAGGCTTCAGACGATGTACAGAATTAGGGCCTTCATTATTTTAAACTAATTGTTTCTGAAACAAAATATCGTTAAAAATCTCTTACTGAGTTTCATTCATTGTTGCGTGTAACTTTTAAGATCATATTTTTTTCTTATTTGATATTTTTTAGCGTAGGTATCTGTAACTCGCTCTGTTATGGTTTTTCTGATTATACTTTAACCAAAACTTATAATTCTGCTGCTCGTGTAGTTGCTCGTGCGCCTATTTTTTGTCACATATATTTTCTTTTATATTTTAAACCCTAACTTTCAAAAAGATAAAGATCTCATTGATAAAATGCAAAGTACCACAAAGATGAATTCATCATCTGTCACATGAAAATGGATTAAAATTTGACGACGCTTGAAAAAAATTGTTTAAAATAGAAACGTGGAGACAGATGATAAACATTCAAGAAAAGCAAAAGATTTATCAGTTTTCAGCAATAGAGTTTTTAATAAATAGAACAAGCTTAAAGATGTCACTATATAAATAAAATTATAAACTAGTGACAAAAATAGGGTCAAAATTCGAACCCATCAAAATTACAGAGATGTTCGTCTCCTATTTATTAGTAAAATTAGCTATTATGATTTGGTAGTTTATCGAATAATCACACTCAGAAATTCACCGAGTGGTAAGTGAGGAAACAAAATTTTCGTAATTATCTTTATAGTAATTTTGAGCCATACGGTCTCCTGCGTTTAGAAACAGACAATTTTTGATTTATTTAAAAAAAAATTAAGCAAACTTTTTTAAAAATTTCATTTTTTGATTGGATATTATAAAAATGACAACAAAATTATTTGAAGGCTTAAGCCAATTTAGTGGCTGATCTAGGGGTTGGATGCGGGAATGCATTCCAAAACAGAAAGAGAAAAATATTGAAGAATCTGTGTAAAACATAGTAATGAAGTTGACGAAAATTAGCCAAAAATGTCATTAACTCAAGAATTTTGAAAATCATCAATAAACAAAACGGTAAAAAACAGGAATTATAAAATTTATGAGTTTTTTCTGGAAACGCTCATTTGGAAACTATTTTCTAGAGGCATGGTTAGTACAGTACAATTCAAATTAGTAGTATTTTTCGTCGGTTATTCTAGTACATCTTCTCGATAAAACAGTCCTCAGTCATTTATTCGTCTCTTGTAAAATGGAGCGTAATATTAATTATTTAAATATAACTTATTGCAGTGTAAGAAGATTTATAGAGTTGTCAACCGGCAGTGAGTTCAAAATTTTGGCTGACTCAACTATGAAAACATTTCGCTTAAAAACGACATATTTTTAATAAAGGGCACACTAAATCTTTATGCTTCGCTGATCTCATTCAACTTAGTTTATGGAGATCAGTCTAGATTTATCAACTCTTAAAAAATACTGATGTTTTCAGTGTAGCACCATCTGAACCATTTTAAATTTAACTTCATCTTTCACAGACAAAAATAAAATGTATTCTTTACATAATGTTAATGCTCTCAAATTTCGACGGTGTGGTGGTGATTTGATGAAGTTTTGTGACCCAAGCTATTAATCCAGTTGCGGAGTTTTCCAAAAGGGAAACAAGCCCGGTGTAGCAAAGTCATGATAAAACCAGTCATAATTTTTGTTAACAATTTCTATTACAAACTAATTATTTTAATTTACATGATTATATACAGATAGAATAAAATCAAAAATACGTAGATGTTGGAATCAAAAGTTCAGCGGTACCAGTTGCACATTATAAATAAACATTCAATAAATAAACATTCAAAGGTGAAATTATAAATTTGGTCGTAATGTCAGAATAGACATTAAAATTCTGTACAGCTATACTATGAAGAATCAAGTATAATAATACGCAAATGACGCCTGCCTGTTATACTAAAACATGAAAAAAATAATGCGAAGCAACACGGAAATAAACAAATTGGCCGCCACAGTGATATTTAATTTAAGGAAAATAAGAAATAGAATTGTTACTAATTATAATTAGTGACAATTCTATAGCTGTCACTAATTATAATTACTATTATAACTATAATTATAGAAATATCAATGAAAACTAATCTACGGGACAAATAATGATGCATTGACTGACTAGACTAGGCAGGTCGCTTAATGTATCATGCGGGAAGACACAAACACGTGTGTGTACAGTACATACATTAGATACAAAATAGGAACTGCGTAGTGGCTCAATTTGTATATACAAAAACTTTCATGTTTAAACTTGTTCGTTTTTATATTGTTGATTTCATCAATAGCGTCCACAATCTAACAGATAACACATGCAAACCACCAGAATTCCCAATTACGAAGACACATTCACGATTAAATTAACTTACCATGTCAATGAATATTATTCAGTCATAACTTTATAAGCCATACAGACCGACCACACCAAAACGGGATTTCTATAAAAGATGATTACATAATATCGCGTGTATAGCCTGTGCTCTTTTAATCAAGTTCATAGGCTACATATAACATGAGACGCAAAAAATAAAAAGAATATATATATATATATATATATATATATATATATATATATATATATATATATATATATATATGTATATATATATATATACATATATATACATATTAAAATATAAATAATGACATTGTAAAGACAAAAGAATTTTGTACCCAAAATCTAACTTTGAAATTTTACCATTAGTTTCTTCATATGGAAGTTATTGTAAGAATAAGTATGAAAAAATATAAATTTATAAATAAATACAATATAAATATATATACATATAAATATAGAAACATACATTACAAACACACATGAAAGTACGCACATGAAATACTAGAAGTACGAAAGATATTTTAATCATATACACAACAATTCAACCGAAAGAAAAAGCGCATGGCAAAAGTTAGCTGACAAACCAAGAATTCGTGATGAAATAGTTCCAATAATAAGTTTCAATTTTAAAAAAATTAAAACTTTGACGCTAACAAAAATTTAGACAAATTGAACTTGTTCGCGACTGGCGATAAAAACCTTTTAGCGTTTCAAATAAAATAGTCTTACTGTTACAAAATATCATTTCAAACATCATTTTAACCAGTTCTGCCAATCATTCTTTGCATTTGCTGGGTTGTCAACTCGAAAGTATCTATTGTATCAACGTAATATTAACGACGATGAGTAAATTATATATCATATGCAAACCCGCAATAATGACCCAAAGTATATTTCATTCTGTCACCAGACTTTTTTTGCAACAGAATTTATAACGAGATCTGTTATAATCAAAAAAGAATGTATTGAATGTCGAGAAAAAAATATTTTTCGTTAAGTTAGAAGATTAAAATTGAAAACCCTGAGTACTTACATGTAATTTGTTTGAAGTTGGAGCAAAGGTGTCGTTGTTAAACGATACGTCCTGCTTCAAATCTGTTCTCACTACTAACAAGGAATCTTCATCAGGTCTGCGCGAGAATATCATATGTTAAAAAGTTAAATGTTGAATGAGCAGCTTAACTATAAAGTACAAATAATTAAAAAGATGGTTTAGTAAAAGTTACCGCCATTAACCTCTGTGATTCTCCTTTTACTGCATTCACACTTGAAAAAATATTTAAATATTAAAATAATGATTTAATCTAACTAAAACAACGAAGTTCCTTTTATAAAAGTTTTGCAGGCAGTCTTAAATCTCAAGTCCTGGGCAAGTCAGCATGATCAACACGTTGCTTAACGACATGCTGTAGCAAACCAGCGCAATAAAAAATGCACGCAAAATATAAAGAATAAAAGGGTATATACCTCTTACTCTCGTCAACAAGAGGGCTTGATTTGCGCTTCAACGGCTGCTTACCGAACACATGTTTACAAATGGTCATAGTGATGCTGCAGCCACGCGTGAAGTAGCACGTCAAATCCACGATGAAGAAGAAGAGTATAAAGATGAAGATGATGGTGATGGGGATGACGATGTGGGTCGAAGAACTTGTTGCTGTTTCGATCATTGTTTTCTCACTGGCTGTATTTATGAGTTTAATATTATATGAAATTTTTCGAAGAACTAACATGAACTAACAAATAATTAAATTTATGAAATCAATAAGCGAACGCCTCACGAAATTTTTAACAATGTTCATTTAACAGTTGTCCATTCACTTTAATTTTAATATCATGCACGAAAATATTTTCACCCTTGAGATAAAAGAGATTGAAATTTACATATATAGTTCTGTTGACATATCTGTACCACAGATGATCATTCTGTCAAAAATTACCTATTCTGTGATGGTTCTTAACGAAATTTCAAGATGCAATATTAATCCAATTAAAAGTACTCAGCCAGCCTTTAATGAATTGATCAATCACACCAATCTTGTTGTACAGCCAATTACTTCGGCAGTGCATCTATTCCGTTGTTTAAGGCCGATTTTGTGCTCTAAAATTGACATGTATTTAGTTTCGTCTCTAAATTTTCTAGCGCTTCAAATTGTGCTTCGCAAAACTAACATCCTTGATTAAGTCATTTAGTTGCATGGGGAAATGAAAATATTTTTGTTACATGATCAGTCACCTTTAATGACATTCTTAAAATAATGATCGACTAGGAAGAATCATGATGATGTTTAATGTGAGTTCATGACCAAGAAGTCATTGTAATTAACGCTAATTTATATCTGTTATATAAAGCAAAAATAGTTTCTAGAGAGAAAAGCTTAGCTGTTATTTATTCCAAAGTATAATGATGCATCATATTGAATTAAAAAAATTTACAAAAAAGAGTAAAAACAAAACCACTAAAATATAAGGATTATAATTAGAAGTAAAAGTATTCAAGCAGAAATGAACTAAAAAAGCTAAATAAACATAAAAACTAACGCAAAATAATGAAAACAAAACCTCGTAGAAACCATACAGTCAACTTTTTAATTACAGAAATGTAAAATGCAATTTGCAGACATGCTCATAATATTAAACAGGGGGAAGGAGGTTGGATAGGCAGTGAAATTCTTGGTGATTCACTAGAGCTAAAACAATTTATTTTCAACCAACGTGAATCATAAAAGCATGTAGTAGTGGTAGGTTGTATATGCCATTTTGCTCTAACATCATAAATATATTTATTCGAAATTTAAAATTTGTGTTGTAATGACAAAACTATGATGAAGTTGCATCAAGATGAATAGTGTGATGAATGCCGTCTAATGTGAAAGAAGAATAATTTAAAGCCTTATCATCTACTAGGTACCTGCTTCCAAAGGTCGACTTAAATCAAAAAAATCTTTCGGTGATTCAAAACGTTCTGAAATTTCTATTGCATTTGCGTCTGGGAAATCTGCAAAGCAAACAATCCAACTAAAACCTAAAGGTTTCAAAAACTAAGGAACCAAACAAAAAAATAAACTAAAAAAAATTAATAAAACGATTAGATACGAAAAATGAAATGAAAATGAAATGTAGTGGTTATTGTAGTTAATCTAAATACTAGTTATATGCCTATATGTAAAACTCTAGATAGCAACACTAAATTGATTCACAACGTTAACATGTAGAACAGCCAATAACCTGTTTTTGGAAGCTTCGCTGTCAAGAAATGAAATAATAAATTAAAATGAAAGATTTGTGAATAATAGAGGCTGTCGAGTTAGCTCAGATAATAAATATATCATGTCATGCGTTGACATTGCGCGATGATCTGATTCGAAGGCTATTTGTGCAAGCCTCAAAGAGGGCAATCACATAATGCAGTGCATGTGCGTACATACAAAAGTGCACGTTTAAATGTCATGGGGTGTGAATATAAAGCTTATGTGGTACGGTTTGTATGTCAGATTTACATAAGGGAAAAAAAACAAAAAGCAAAACTTTAAAATGGGCAATGATTTTCAATAAACTTTAAATTATCTGCTTTGAGAATGTGAAATATACATTTGAATAAAATTAATGATTAAAAATTACGAAAAATCAACCGACCAGTCTTGAAAACAAATGGTTCATTTGCAGGCGAGCTTCCTAATTCATTTTGGCAGATGATCTCAACTTGGTACCACGTGTCAGGCTTCAGTCCTCGTAACTTATACATGTAGTGTGTTTCCTCCTCATAGACCTGTTCCTGTCCAGCAACTGGAATATCAACTGACTGATTGTAAGGAGTTTTTGGCACCCTGTGAGATGCTATTTCTTTTGCTTCGTACCTGGCAACATCAACTTCTTCGGGTTCAGGCAACATATGATGTCTCCAGAGTAATTCTAGAAGATCTTGTCTAGAAGGTAGTTTGAATGGTCGCTTGTCTAATATAGAAAGTGCTGGAAGTGGTAGTGGAGCTGCGGTGGTTGTGATTTCTTCCGTCTCATTAACTGCATAAATAGACCAAAATTCTTCTAAAACATCTGCTTGTTGAGAAAGTAGTTCTTCATGTGTAAACATTTCACTGGTCCACTCTTCTAAAGGTTCAACAAACTGATTCTCATTATTAACGGATGCCTGCGTGAAGCAAAAAACCAAATAACTAAAAAAACGATTCTCAACTTTGTTTAATTCTTTCGCGGCATCTTCCATAGATAAACACGCAAATAAACCCAAATGAAAAATACAGAAAGAATTTCTGATGCATTTTATCATACATAGATTCTTTGTTTGCAGTTTTTCATAAAACACCTATGTCTCAGTTCAATTTGCTCAAATTTTTGTATACCTTTCAATTAAACTGATCCAGCAAGAATCAGTTTCAAGATTTTTTACCTTTCCATTCCACGTCGAAATCCTCGCAATATTACATGTCGCTGTAATGAACATTTTAACTAAAAAATAAAAACTGAAACATTCGCTGAGGGACCAAGCTTAATTTAAGCTAATTTTTTGCTATTTTCTTTTTGGCTTCCCTGTCATTTTATTTCATGCATTTATTTCTTTTAAAATATCGTTTGATATGATTTGGCAAAATAAACAGAAAATATATAAAATATTTTTGTTCTATGCTCCTGGGTCTATTTATAATGTGCTTACTTTGCGCTATCCTACCACACTGATAAACGATAGAAAGTATTTTAAACATAATGGACAGAAAATTCAAAGAAAAAGCAAAAAATCAGAGATTTGAATGGAAAGAGTTACAACGAGAGGAATCATGGTTAACATAAAATCACTGTCGCATTCGCAAACAAGTTTTTTTATTATTCTAAATATTTATTAAACTAACGATTTAACACAATACAAGCAGGTTGATTATTATACTAATTATAAAGTGTATTACAAATTAGATGGAGGACGCAAAAGAAAAGAAAAAAGAATGCAGTAGAAAATATTTCTCAAACTAACCCTCCTATACTTGAGCCTGTACTGAAAAATTGGAAGGCCAACATGAACTGGATCATCCCAAATGATGATATATTGATCTGGTAGGGCCGACTCTTTCTGTGATATCAAAACCAGAGGCTCAGGCGCGGCTGATATTTTTATTTCAAAAATCTTAAGTTTAAAAATAAAAGCTAACAAGAAACGTTTATAAACTTAAATATGTATAAAAAATATAATTGGAAAATATGATTAAAATATAACATACAAGGCGTGGAAGTGTTGGCATAAAAACGAAGTTCATTGCCAATGCCGCAAACGTTGTTTGTACCAATATTAAGTGGACGATAGACTCTTTGAGGAACCAATCCCTTCATTCGAATGGTAGCTTCTGTCGGATCAATTTGATATTTCACAACTAAATAGTAAGTAACTAATCTAACAAGACGAAGAGACAAAGTAACAGTAATACAAACTTTCAATCTCAGCAGGGTATCTATAAACTTTGATGTTGTCAAAGCCGTATTCATTCTTATAGAATATAAAGATTGACGATTCCGAAGTTAATTTATGTGTCTTATCTTTGCTTCTTTCAACTGATAACACCAGCTCACCCGCATAAGATTTCAAAAGTTTAACCGTAGGAAGATTAGTATATCCTATCAACAAAAAATTGAGCATTTTTTAGATGAAAATTTTAGTTTCAATTCAATTCAAACTGGTAATTCAAAACTAACTTAGCAGATAAGTGGTCATGTTCTGTTTAAGTGTACTATATTTATTTTTGGCTTCACACGTGTATGTTCCGATAAAATTGATGTACTTAGAGGCTGTTATCCTCAGCTGAAAACAATTATATTTTTCAAAATGCATCAAATTTGCATCTATGAACTAAAATAGAGATACCTACACCACTGAAACACAATGTATGTACTCTATTTCTATATGTACAATATATTTCTTTATTTAAAACAATTTTGAAATTAGAAAACAAATTTAGAAAAAATGAAACTCGAGTTGACACCTTGACGGTGCTGATAGTTAGATAACCCCTTCTTTCATATAGGATCTCATAATTTTCATGGAATGGTGGCATAGTAATTGTAATATCTTTGTCGTAAAACTTATCGAATGAAGTGATGTACCACTGAAATGATGGCGCGGGGTTGGCCTCAACGACACACGTCACGTTATAAAACTTGTCACGCCACAAATGCCTATCAGGGCATAGCCAAACCTTCTGGTCGTATTTCAGTGGGTCATATGGTCCGACTGCAAGCGAAGAATGCTTGATGATAACACCCAATAAATGGACAACAAATTTGTAAAACAGTATATCAGATGCTATGAAAATTTATAATCTTTTCCTAGTTAGTTTACAGTTTAATTTGTTACTATAAAACTGACATGATTTATTTGTGTTGATATAAAGAAATCAGTTCTAAACTTTTGTTATTAAAAACCATTTTAAATGCAACTACAAATGATTTACAAATTGAAATTTTTAAAAAGTGAATGCACATTTAACGCATTGAATACATACTTTTTCATCATTTCTATAACTAGAAAAAATAACCCGGCTAATGTAAATAAATGTAGCCCCCAGGACAACTTGATGGCAAGCCTTTTGGGTTCACTTTTATTAATCAAAAAACAAAGTCAACATCGGAAACGTACATTCAACGTCGAGGACAGCTTTTTCACTAGCGACACCTGCTTCTGAAGTTGCTGTACAGACATACACATCGTTATCTTCTTTGCTAACGTTCTCAATGCGCATCGTAAACTTTGAAAATTGTTCAACTCCCTGGTTTGGTTGTTTGTTTTGAACGGTGGAATATATAATTGAGTTGAACAGGATAATTCAGTTTGTTATGTTAATAACTGACTTAAGGCGTCTAGGAATGAATGCTGAGTGTTGAATACATAAAAACCAACATCAAAAGAAACAACAAAAACAATAAAAGATCATCAGTAAAAAGTCCCAACCACAACAACAACTGACCAGTCTGGATAGCTGACCATTCCTAGAGATGATGACCAGAGGAGTGGGCGTGCCCCCAGCCTCACAGGTCATCACACATGGCTTACCCAATTCGCATGAGGTGTTTTCAAATTTGGTTATGTTTGGTGACTCTGTAGATGTGATCATGTGATGATGGTGTGTGATGACATGTACGGTCACGTAATAGTGATAGTATGATGACATTTAGAATGTTTGAGGGCGACACGACCGAAGTTGGCTGAGCTTTGTGTGATGGTGTTAATAATAAAAACCAGCACCGCCTAAAAAGATAATATATAAAAATGAACAAAAAAATGTGTTAAGATTCAGCTTTTAAGCTTTATGATTCAGCATACCAATAAAAACAACTACTACAAATATAACAACTACAATAACAATAGCAACACAAAACCAGAAACAAAAAATCGGCCCGAAGAGAGCACAACATCACAGCATCAAAACACGTCCTTCAACTTCATCAAACATCAGCGATGAAGAAAATTAGATAACCCTAGAAATAAATTGAATGCAAGCTGTATTCTTATCTGGACATATCCACATAAGATAACACAACTGAACTAGGTTTACAGAACATATCCACAATAATAAAATCCATCTCGTCATGATAATTGCGAAATACACAGACAAACAGGTGCAGTGACATACTTTATATTTGTTTGCATACTAGCAAAAACACAATACAATAAATGCACAAGCAGCCAGAATGCATATCGTCATCAACATTACCATCATCGTAGCAATCATCATCATCGTCGTCATCAGCGCTATAATCATCATCATAATAAAGATAATTAGAGATAAGGAATGAACCAATTGTTAGAAACAAGGAAAAACCAAGAAACATCCCAGTCGGAAGTTTGAATGAATGAATGAATGAAGGAATGAAAGAAATAAAAATGATGTGCGAGGCACACTGCACTCGTGATTAAAATATTTAATCATTTCATCACTGACCTTACTAAACAATATCATCAGATATAATTCAGAGCATTAATTATTAAAATCTTCATTAACTATTTCTTATTTTCTAAAATATTGCTGAATTAAAATAGCTTCAACAAAATAACAAAAATCAATGCATTTATTTTCCATTACAATCTTAAGCTCACTCACTACTCAATACAAAATACATTCACTTCCTGGCCATCCAGACACAATGAAATAAAAGATTTGAAGTTTTTAAACAGGTGTACATTTTTTCAGCCGAAGATAACAAAATGATTGATGATGCATTACATCAAATAGCACGAAACTTCAGATATGAAATTTATAGGCATAATCATAAAAATTTTCCAGCACAACTTCATAATTTCAGAAGATAAATGTCTGATAAATTGAACAATTATTTCTATATAATTACCACAGCCATACACATCTTAACTGAAACCTAAAAAAAGAAACAAAGACAAAATAAATAATGATGAAATAATCACAGGCGCAGGCCTCAAAAATGGCCATAGAAACTGAAACAACATTAACAAAACAGACTTTTCCAACACTCTCCACTTTGCACACTACAGATTATAAATACAAAATTGGGATGAGATGAAGAAATAATAAATTCATAATTAGAACAGAAAAAACTAGAGAGAATAAGGAAAAACATTTGCCCGATAGACAACCTCCATCTTACAAAAAAACATAACTTACTAATCCTCGTGTTTCACATGTGAGGATAATTATCATTGAAACAATTAAAGGATACGATAAAATGCATTTGGCAATTAACATCAAGTCGGTCAATATTAAATGTATTAAATGTAATAAATAGAACTTATTTATAATTACCATTCATACTTACACACACACACACACACACACACACACACACACACACACACACACACACACACACACACACACACAAACACACACACACATATATATATTTACAATATTCTATAAATTCTACCGAATGTTTGGCGCT